CCGTGTACGCCCTAGTCACTCTTTCAGGGGGGGGGGTAGGGGGGGGGGTCTTCGACCTGAAAAATCAGGGGTTAGGATTTGCACCCGGTCGAAAGAAACCTTGCTATCGCAAGAATAACTCCAGCTAGCTTCGCTAGCTTTCGTGAATACATATTTTCTTTATTTCATTTATCATTATAAATCTAACAATATATTATTATTTAATCAATTAGACACATATATTTAATTATAATATATTTAAATATATTAATATCGTATAATTTCCTAAATTAGCAATTTAAATTCTATATTCGCATACATAAACCTTATATATATATATATTTTTTTGTTTTTTTAAACCTAAATAACATAGACAATTAAATCGGAATTTCATATATTTATTCACTTTACAAAAAATACTATCAACTATATTATATGAAATTAATACACTATATAATCTAAATATACATATAAAGATCGTATAAACTCGTTATTTATAACTGAGCACGAGCAGAATTTGACTTTGAAAGGCGGCTGGATTGCCACTGGCTGGATTGAAGCAGAAGGGATAATTGAACAGACGGCTTGATGCGTGGATGGAGTGATAGATGATGATGACAAAGGTCAGGTCTAAGCGGGTACAATGTTGCCATCAACAAAAAAAACAACACATAATATCTCATAATATGATGCTTCGTTTAGTCTTCCAAGTATAACTGTTGTATCTTTTGGCTCGCTAAAACACGACGTCTTTGAGCTGTTCCTAATGGCGTGCAGGGCAGCTTGCAACTTAAAAGTATATACATTGCACTGCTGAGCACGACTTTGCACAAATGCCTTCGAGCGGACTATGATTGTGGGACCTTCTTTGTCAGGCCTGTGCCAATCTTGAGCACAAGACCGACACATCCCTTCCATCCCAAAATTTCCCTGGAATTCGGGCGTTCACAAAGCATTAACAATTCAGGCGATTCAGGATCTCATTGGAAGCCATCGTCTGCCTGGAAAATCCCGGGCAACACCTGGGTCGGAGCCCAAGCCGTCGGCATCGACCGTGCGGGTCCCCGAGGTCACGTTCCATCCCGGGTCGACCGTTTTGACCGTCCAAGAAGCCATTTGGAGCAAACGATTCCTGAGGAGAACGAACGAACACAAGAAGGGATTTATATGGATTTATGATGATTCAGGGATAGAAACTCATGATTCGCCGATGAGTCAGTCCACACAGTTTTGAGGACGCTGTCCAATCGTACTTAGGACTTCTCAACATGGGCGAGTCTTTCAAGTGGTGACCTCCAACTATATGTTTAATTAGCAATATTTTTATGCTTGTTGTTTTTGAGGCAAATGCAACCTGTAGTTCTCCAATGAAACGTATGCAAATATGCTCTCCGACTCCGACAGTCCTGAACGCAGCCGCTCCTGCGCTTGGTACTTGTCCTGGCACACAACATCGGGTCTGAAGCCAGTCCAAAGTGAAACACAAACTCCCAAAGTCACCAGGTTGTTGCGTGAGTGCAGACTTGCCGTGATGCATGAGTGCAAACTTGCCAAAAGATGTCAAAAGTTTATCTTTCTTAAATGATTTCCGTTTGCTTGTGCCAAGTGTGCTAAGACTATAAGCTACAACTCAGAAATTCCCCTGCAAGGAAAGTAGAGGAACCTGTTTGGTTCTGCTGTCGCGGTTGCTCGTTGTCCCCGCGCCTAGGTTCTGCAGCATCTTCGCCAACTTGCTGGCCCAAAACGAGACCACAGCATGATAACCGGCCTCGGGCATGGCTCGGGCATGGCGAAGATTCACACGAACTGCGTTCGTCCTCGGCGAGATTCACACGACCTGCCTTTGCTACTCCTAAGGAGTCTCTCCTCAGGCATACTACACCAAATGACATCCCCTCGGATCTCCAGCATGAGCGACATTGTGATTCGTTCACCGAATCCTTCCGATGTGGAAAAACACCCCCTTCGGGTCTGCCTGGCTTTCAAGCAGCCTTGCTCGAGGCAAGTACTTGAGGTCCAGAAACCTCGGACAAAGACGCTGAAAGAGAAGTCGCTGAATGCCTTTAGCCTAGTAGACGTTGGAGGGTGAATCTCACCAAAGAGCCAAATGTTCTCACCAAAGAAGGGAACTGTCTGCAGACTATTGCCTTCGGGGACTATGGGAGCTGTTTGCTGTTGAAGCGCATCCTTTCACGACACACACATGACCCAGAGGGGTCATATGCAAAGGCGATCTGTCGGTGGTGAATGCCAAAATGCTGGCAAAGCTCCAACCTTGGCCGTTAAAAAAATGGCAACACATGGCAACACGGTCTCCATGAGACACGGGAAATTCTTGAGTGCTGAAGAAGCTTCAGTTTTCCATCCAAAAGACTGTACAGCTACGATAGGCAAGAGTTTCCCGCAAAAAACAATCTAAAGCTTGGGGATGTGTTGGGGGGTCGATCCCTCTACAAAGAAAGGGACCCTGCCTGTTCTATTCTTGTTGTTGATGCTGACTGTGCTGAATTTCTCAATCCATCGCCAAGTTGCAGCAATCCAAGCTCAGGCTCCGTCATGTCTTCCGCAGGCGGCTGGGCACCATTGGCACTAAAGAGAGGGATGCCTCATGCGGTCACATTCTTGGGATCTGAAGCGTACCACTGAGAAAAGGCGGAAAAACTCAGATATCTTGGGATCTCTCTCTCTCTCTCAGCTAGTGTCAGGCTTCTTTCAAATAGTTGTTTCTATTTGGGGGTGACCTGGCTTGGTGGATTTCTCATCATCTCTACCGACTCTGCCAGTGCATTTTAGGATTCACCAAGTGACCGTGATGACCGCGCCCCAAGAATCCAACGTGTCGCCACACACGAGGGCCTGGCGCATGGTGGGCGACCGGCGACCAAATGGTTCGGTGTCAGCGTCTTTTTCAGCTGCCCAGCCTTGGTTACGATCTGGGATTGGAGCACCATGCTCCGGGCCCTGCTGGTGAAACCAGATCAGTGAAAAACACAGGGACACAGTTTCTTGACGACTTTGCCACATCCTTGCCTCCATCGGTCCTCCCATTCTGTGAAGCCTCTGGTATACCGCTGCTACTGCGCTATCGAGATCCATTGGAACTGTCTCTGTTCCAGTGACCTGCCAGCAACATCCCTCTCTCTTAGCAATTCGCACATTTCTGTGACTTCCTTCAAGAACTCTCAAGACTTGCCATGCTTGCCCTTCCTTTCAACACTTGGGCACGTCTTGGAAGAGGGAGACACCCCTGACCAATGGGGCAGCTAAGTCTAGTTTTCAACACTTGTCATCTTGTTTTTGTGAAACAATCCAGCAGGATTGCCTCTTGATCCTCTTGATATCTCCCCGACCTCACCCCTCGCCTGTGCAATCTTGAGACCCTCCTCGATGGTACTGGGCCCCCGTTCGCCACTGGGGAGGAAGTGGATGGCGTGGGCGTGGGCCTGGGGCAAGGTGGGACTCCCCGCTGAATTCTAATAGCAAACATTGCTCCTAGTAGCGATGCCAGGAGCCCCTAGTAGCGTTCTTGCTACTAGTAGCGATGCCCTTTGTTTCTAGTAGCGTTCTTGCTCCTACTCTGTTGTTTGTGTTGAGAAAAACATCGTCTAATGGAACTGGTCACCCGCCCCACATATTCCTCTTTTCAGCCGGCTCTGCGCCTCACAAATGTGCAACCATTGCTCCACGGTCAGAAGCGGCCTCACACTTAGGATCTCTGTGAAGAATCTGAAGGTGGCCTGGAGAAAACAAAGCTGAGAAGGAAGCTTCATGAAGCTTCAGAAGGATGCTTCAGGGGCAAAAAAACACATCATGGTCACTCATCAAAAGGGCCGCACCCTTGGGGGAACAGTTCAAGTTGACACAGTCATGACAATGTGGACCGGTGACCGTATGTCAATCTGGCTGTATCAAGCAATCTGGGCCCCCTGTAGCGGTAAACAGCGAACGCCTTTTACCTGGCTCCTTCAGTTTCCCTGGAACATAAAGGTCAAACTTTTTCTACCTGCTCTTGTTTAATGGGGAAAGCACTCCCCCAAAAAGGTTAAAGGTTATCCGTTATCCACTGACTGGGTATGCATAAAAATTTCAAAGCTCATTCAGACTCCGACTCGTTTATGCACAAGTCAGCTGATTTTTGCTTGGCCGGCGATGGCCTCCTCATTGCCGCCAACACCATAATGGGTCTTCAAAGCGGTATCCTGTGCCGGACTCCCCTCCAGTTCAGGTGCAACTTCCCAGTAGGCTTCGCCCATCGCGAGAATCCTGGAAGCAATGTTGCGGTTTCCAATGAGTATGAAGGGTTGAACCAAACGAACAAGAAAAACGAGCAAGACAGCAAGGGCTTGTTTGTGCATATCATCAAAAGAGCAAATCGAATTGTTTGTATCTGTCTGAAGGCAGCAAACAAATACATGCCCATTGTCCACTGGGACTGCTCCAGTCAAACTGACGACATGACCCGGCTTCCGTCTGCTCATTCGCTTCCACACGACCGTCTGGGATCGTCACCGAGTCACCTGCACTGAGCGTCCCCTTCGCCGACCCCAGGGACCACAATCATGCGTTGTTGCACAAAGTGATTGTACACCACGGTCTCTGGGCCTCGAGTGCAGCGCGGCGAGCGATCCGCGTGAGGAGTTGGTTTTCTTTTTGGGACGGAAAGGATCGTGAAGCATCTCAGAAAATGGCGGCACAAGAGAACAGTTCATGTCAGTCAAGAACTCATGAGATCTCTGTCCTTGTCCTTTGAAGTGCTCGCAAGCCGTGTTTTTGGAGGGGAGAACGCTGTCGTGATCGAAGGCGGCGGTATGTTCCGCCCAGCGACGTTTGTCTTCGACTCGCTGTGGTGGCTCTGGTGGAATGAGATCTATGCCCATGCAGGTGCCGACACAAAGCTTCACCAACTCCTGCCCAGTCCGCTGTGGTGCAATGGGCGAAACTGCTCGACTCCTTTTCACTTCGGCTCAAGATCATTCAGGATCCAAACAGAATCTAAGACATGTTTCACTTGTGGATTCACTTCTCCATCTTTGTAGAACCATTATTAATATGGGTCACGATACAAACCGTGCTGGGCTTGCATTTCATCAAACAGCCGATCCTCAATGGCAGCCTTGGCCGCAGGAAACAGCTGTGCTGCTGCCTCCTGTGGTGATATGGATGGCTTTCCCGGGAGGTGACGCGACCTGCGTGTGTCGACCTTGCTGGCGACTGTCTGGGTGAGCCAAAGGGCCCCAGATGGGACATGGGCCTCCCAAACCTTCGGGTGGGTGTTCGCGCGTGTGATTAACACTTAACAGAACTGTCGCCTTGCAGCCTTGCTGTGGCTCAATCTAGCTTCATACCCTTGAGTTTCAGAGCATGACCAAATCGTCTTCAGAATGACCCCAAACCTGACTTCAAATATTCTAGGAGTCACCAGCAGCGCATGTTGTTGGAGTGACACGACTTGATCTACCCTACAAATTGAACCTTAGCAGCTGAACTTTTTCCAAAATAGACGGGGGCAAGAATCTCTGCACACACTCCAAAGACAAACCTCAAGCGAATGGTGAAACCGCATTTTTTGTTTGGAACTGCCAAGCTCATTTGGAAGGATGTGAACAAAAAGTAATAATAATAATGTATCATATCTCATGGTTCGGGAAAGAAGTGAAACAACTCTCCGGTAGAGTATTAATATGTATTAGAGTAATTGGTATTTTTGTCAACTGTTGCCCAACAATGAAGGTTCCAGGGGGCTTGTAGGAGTGTGCTTGCAAAGTGTGCCCTTTTGCATTGGACGCATTGCCTTCTACGACACTACGACAATACGCCAGTCGATACCCTAGACCTAAACCTTAGGCGTATCGGTTCATTGGTGCAGTTCGGTGCGTATCGGCGTATCGGTGGAAACACGTTTATAGGGACACGCTTTGCTGTCGGTGATTAATGGTTGCTGGCTGGAGGGTATTGCTTATGAAGTACCAGCATGTAATCGCAAAATTCACCATGAAGGCAAACGATGCAAGAAACTTCCTTGTTCCACTTGTCCATTAGTCACCCAATTCATGATTTGGCTGGCAAATGTGACAGTCTACCGAGTAGCTCTTGCACATTCGATGGCCATAATCAATGCCTCGCATAAGGCCTTCGCGGACGTCTCCGGCCCTTCACGGATCCATTTCGTCAAAGCAGTCCTGCCATCGGGACATCGAGTGGCGAACAGGACGCGGTACGAGATCGATCGGACAGGACGCTATAGTGATCAGACAGGATGCTCCTCACGCCCGGCCCAAAACGGCTATAGTGATCTTGTAGGATCTCAAGTTGACAACATTTGCGAAGCCTTGGTGTCTCGAAAAGTCTCAGGTGGTGAGAGCACACGAGTCTACCGCCGTCTACCGCTGTCTGCCGCGGCCAGGCCCCCGGCAAGTCCACCTTGAAGGGTCTCCAAACGCAGTCAATCTTGGACAAGAAACCTGGACTCACAAAGAGCAGATGACTTGTATTGTTTGGGTCTATCTATCATGTTTATAATTACCAGTAACAGTGGATGATGATGGTTAGTAAAGGCCCTTCTCTTAACATAGTGGTATTTGTTTAGCAACCGTTACAGGTAATGGGACAGACCCAATCTATTCTGGTCAAAAGCGACTTCAGCTGCACTTTCTGGACTTAACAATGCCCGCGAGCCAAGAATACAGTCCTTTTGAAGAGCCGATCTCCTGTGCCCTCTTCAACACAGTTTTGGCAGGAAAACGCCGGAAGAAGAGTTAGTGTGGCTGTGGGCATCAAGTGAGTCAGAAGATTCGTCCAAATGTGTAGTCAACTCCGTGGCCCAATCAGGCCCAGTTTACCCATGCTGCTCCAGCCAAGCAGCCTTTCCCGGGAACCAGGAAGAGTTTTTCTTCTCCTGGATTAAACCCGCTTCCATCCAGTCTGCGATAGATCTCAGACACGAAGCCAAGGTCTCGAATCTCAGTCTCGCGTGCAAACCTTGAGTCAAGGTCTCGACAATATGGAACTCAGGACAGAAAAGCAGCTGCACTGTGCACTGGGTTGCTATGGCTCTTCCATCCTCAGAGAAGACGAAAGGACCATGGGTCCCATGGCTCTTACTTTTGCATGTTCAGATCTGCCGGATGGATTTGGAAGTTGCAAGGCGTTGATGTTCTCAGAGCAAATCACATCACTTCTTTGCAGGAGTTTGGAACGGGCAGGTATAGTGGCTGTTGTGGCTCTGTCACTTTTGTCAATCCTGTGGCTATATGCTTCTTCCGTCTCCGTTTTGCTCTTGGCTGTAATTCGGTAAATCCCCCTGACCATGAGTTTGCTTCTCTTCACAACTATCACCCGGATAGAAGCTAGTAGGAGACCATTAACAACTATATAAGAAGCTACACACGTAACTCCTTCGTATCTCTACTGAAAACCGTTTATAGCTCCTCCCTGCATGGCACCTCAGCCGCCCATTCTCAACACGGAATGGCCACAGCGCCTCAAAGCCTTGACCAAAGAGAACTGATCCACTTCAGTGGCCACACCACACCATTGCAAAAGCGCACGGACTTGCCTTGGAGTGAACAGCTTGCACGGAAACGAGCAACATCACTGAGGTTTCTGATCAAACCTCATCAGCAAATTTGCTGGCAAGTTAGGTTGAACATAGGCGCAGAAAGAACACACACAAACATTAATATGTATATATATATATATGATTAATATAGCTTGGTTTTGGTTTTGTAGCATGACGCACTTGTCTCAGCACTTGTGAACCGGTGTAGAACTCAGCCTGATCAGTTTCTCGTCAAGGCCCATAGATTCAGTGGCTTTCTGCCCTAGGCCGTAGTCATTGGTGAAGGAAGAACTGTGAAGAAATATTCTTTCTCCACTTCAACATGAGGATACATGACACATTAGGATAGCCCGAAACAAAACGGCTGTAACATGGATCTTTTGGAGGTAGTTGTCTGCCAATGTTCTTCCTCGCATCACTCGTTCTTTTCTTGGCAACCACTGGTTGGTATGTCAGGCCCTCAGGCTCTCGCCTGATCCACTGGACCCTGGCCCATCTGATGCTTTATACAAGTTTGTTTGGTCTGTCCTCGTGAGGAGAACAGCACAAACCATCATGGTGGGAAACTGGGAGTTGGTGTACAACACACACATGTCATTGGTATAATGAGAATATTCTTTGTCAATCCCTCACATGAACCATGGGAGAGAACACATATTGGTGGCTTGCTTCTAGTTCATGCGTCTGAGCAACGGATTGGCTGGCACATCCTTGATGTATGGCAGGTAGCAACCGGCGATATTCTGAAAGACCTGGACTGCTACTTGCCAACATGGCAACATGGAGAACTCCATGTGTGTCAACAAATGACCAGTGATTGCCTTGGAACAAATCCAAAAACTAGATCAACCATAGACCATCTGAATCTTGAGGAGTGTTTTCCATGAGCAGTCCCTTCAAAAAGATGGTGTAAAACGATGTAAAACCCATGTGCCACATCAACGTTTCAGAGCAGTGGATCGTCACCCTTTCATCGGGCCTCTTGGAGAAACAAGTCCTGCAGAACGAAGTTTCCACTCTGGCCTGGAGGATTCCTGGCGCGTGCGCGGTGCTGTGTCAGGGGGGATGCGATGCAGCGAACGACGCTGCGACGCTGCGACGATTTGCGGGATTGTCCCGAACTCGTGAGCTCATGTGAGCTTCACTCTGCTGTGAGCTCTGCTTCACTCTGGATCATACCCTTCCCTTTTCAATCAGGATAAACAAACACCTCCAGCACCTGGATTCGCCAAAAACATCTGAAAAAAAAACAATATGAGGGGAATGAGTTGCTCTCGCTTGGTCGCTACGAGCTCGGCTGTTTTCGGCCGTTTTGGTCGTCGCTCACCGACTCGCCTCACTGCCAGCTTCCGGAGGAAGTTCCTGCGCGCCAAAGCCACTTCGCTGCGGTCCTTCAGATGCATGATCCTCTGCAAATAGTCCAAGGTCCTTGAAGAACCTGCAAATCGCCGATGCAAGGATCATGGACTGTACCATTCCAAGCAGGTTCTTGGATCGTTATTGATGGTTCGTTTACCGGAATAAACCATTAGCATCTGCCGATCTGCCCACTTGCCGCAGTCTCAAGTGGTTTTTGCCTGCAGCCCGCTGCCAGAACTGCCCGGAGGTCAAGATCTCACCCAAGCGCAGGAAGGACTCGACAAAGCCTGCGCTTAAGGTGTGCACTGTTGTGAACGCTAGCTACAAGATCCGCGCTGATCCGGACAATGGACACAAATATCCATCCTTCAAAAACAAGACGACAACAAACCAACTGCAGAAACATGCAGAAACTCTACACGGGATCCATCGATAATCATCGATACATCTCAGAAGCCGGACCCCAACCAACGGTGGTCGGACCGGTTGAGCGGTTTGCCGCCTTCGGGCAGAGGTGGCCCACCGATGCAGGTCCGGGTGAGCGGATCGGCTGCTTGGCAACCGAAGACGCCGCACATGAAGACCTGGCGAAGACGCGGCTTTTCCATCTCGTGTCGAAGGCGTTCGAAGGCGCACCCGGTGAGCGTTTCTCGCGTGCGTCTCGTGTTCCGAAGGGTTCGGAGTCCGAAAGACTCCGAAGAAGACTCCGAAAGCTCCCGAAGAACGGCGTCCTCGTTTTGGATATGTGGAAGAAGTGTCTTCACCCTGGAGTTAGTGGGTTAGAGCAAAGAAAATAACCTTGATGTAAATTTGGAACTAAGTTGAATTAAGGGGTGCTAGGTGCAGGATTGAAAGCTGCCAATCTCCTCCAATACTTTCCAGGCTCCGATGGCGAAAGCAATCCGAAGTTCACAACATTTTGGCCCGGCCTCCCATCCCAGATTCGATTCCAGTGGAGGAAGGTCTTGCTCTGCCCCTGCAAGGACACCAGCTTTACGCAACAATCGCAACAAAGGTCTCTGAGTCTACCCCATGCAACAATAGACTGTTGATTAAAAAACACCCGATCCAAAGGGGTGGGTTTCTTCTAATCCATATTCTACATGACCCGACCATGGCCACATCCGCTTTTGTCTGCATGTCGCACCTAGCCACCCCGGTGGCGATGCAGCTCGATCCACCGAGTGAAGAGGTGCTTCACTCTCCGTGGCAGTTTCGATGCCAGCAATCGAGCAAATGTTGCCTGAGGATGCAGATCAGGTGGGGTCGATCCACGGCGGTTGGCACACGGCCTCATTAACATCTAGGAATCTATCTATCGATGTTAAAGGACTCCTGCACCGCTCTGAACCACCCCCCAAAAAAACTACATGCCGCGGTAAAAACCCTATGTCAGGCGCAGGATCTCTCTCTCTCTCTCTATACCTGCAACCTCGCGGTTGCTTTTTTTGGTCGGTAGTTCAACATATCTTTAGGTCTGTGAACCACACAAACATCCGCAACCGAAAACACATTCGGGTAGAAACGCCTGTGGCTCACCAACGCCTGTGGAATATCAGAAGAAAACATCAAACAACTAGAGAAACATCCGCATACTCAAACATAATAAGGCTGCGACTCCAAACAATTGTTGTCACGCTGCAACTTAAAAAAAAAAACACATACTGAGGAAGTTCCAGGTATATAGGTCAAAGGCAAGAGCCTTCTTCACCATTGATTGACACCGCACATCACTTGGCCATTGTGGCCAATGCCGGAGAATGAGGGGAACCCACCAAACACTCAGGAATCGAGAAAAAAACGTTCCACATGCAGCAGCGCGGCCAATGATATCAAGAGGCAAGCGCCTCAGCAACGTGACCCATTGCTGTCCACTCTCATTAGAGACAAAGGTTCCTGCACCCTCTATCACCGCAGAACAATCCACCAAGTGTAACTAATCCATACATTCATCCATTTCATGGATCTTCTGAAACAAGACACTGCCTGAACTCGAACAAGCCTTTCCTGACCACCATGCACTCTGGGCAAGCTCTGACTTTCATTACTCCCCCTCATGCCTATCCTTGTCAACATACAGGTGAAATGGAGTGGTCAAAGCCTCATCCCCAGTTCACCAGCTCAAACCAATGAACAAGCTGATGCCAACATGTCGCTACCTGAGAGATGAGACAATGACAATGACGATGTGACTTTGCCGACTAAGAACCTTCACTCCGCTCGGAGGGGGTGAAAGCTGATGAAGCGGAACCCGCGGAAGGAGCTTTTCACACGCCAGGCTGTCAAATTAATTTTGCCACACCCAGATGGGTAGTGCCCTGAGATCGTTTTCACAAGCCAGGCACAGTTCGACCCCCAGGAAGGAGCGGAGACGCAGTTGTGCAGCAGGCACCAGCTGCTGAGAATGGGAGAGCCTGAGATGTCATGGAAACCATGTGGAGCATCTCAAGTTGATTTGGAACATTCACTGGAAATTCTCAAGTTGTGGGGCCACCCGAGCAGTCTCATGGATCTATCCAGTATTTATAGAAGTAACAAGAAGCTATTAGGAACAAGTGCATCGCTACTAGCAACAAGTGCCTTACTAGTAGTAACAAGAAGCTATTAGTAAGTGCCTTACTACTAGGAGCAAGAAGCTACTAGGGGCTCCTGGCCTTATTAGTAGTAACAAGAAGATATGTGACTGCCAGGATTCCAAAGACAACGACCTTGAATGACAAACATCGATTCGGCGAGGCCAAGGTTTGCCTGTTTTCCAGGCTTCTGGTACTTTCCTCATTTTTACCGAAAGGAATCAAACGTATCCAAAAGTAGGATGCTGTAGCTACCATTTTCATCCATTTTCTAATACTCCTTCTTGGCTCAAAGATTGGCAGCGAGTCTGTGCAGCAGGGCCCACTGGCATATCAAACTGACACCGCTTTGGGGAGAGGATTCAGAGATGTACATACCGCCTAAATATATACTACATTATATACATAGGTACACACACACAAATGATCACACATGCGTCTGAGTCCTGAAGTGCAAAATCATCATATTGATTCCAATCCTGCAATGGCAAGCAGGTTCAATCCTCCCCTGAACTCACGGTCGCCGTGGATTCGGGGTCCTTTCCTTCAACAAACCGGTGGTGCAAGGAATGGGGGGACTTGTGCCAGTTCATGCTTTCACACGCACAGCCCTCCTTTCATCAGCCAGGCACAGCTTTGCAGCACCCTTCAGCGCAGACCATCCCAACTCTGGATCTCGTCCTTTCAAATAGCTTAGTCTCAAGACCTCAGACCATCTCAACAGGTGGAGTCAAAGAACACGTTTTTGGTTCAGGCTGGTCTCTGCCAAGGCCACGCTCTCCTGGGGCTGGGACCACCAGGGCTGACCAATAGGTCTTGCTTTGGAAGTTGTCGGCTTCTCGTTGTCTTCTCCTCTGTGCCTTCGACCACGTTTTTTACGTGGAAAATACACCTTTACACTTACTCAAAAAGCCATCGATTCAGAAGATTGGCAGTGCATGATACCAAAAAGAGGGCATGTTTTGGTGAGTTCAACTCACAACATGTAACCAGAGTTCAAACGTGCTTCAAAAAACAAGTCTTGTGAAGAACCATTGGCCATCATTGGCCTTTGCCTGTGCATACCACAGAGGCAAACGTGAACGCAACTGGTCAAAACAGGTGCTCTTGGGAGTTGCAAATGAACAGCATCTGGGTCCAGGGCCTACAGAACTCCTACAGGGCCTGGGTCTGTATTCGAGAGCACAGAGGGGCCCGCAATCAGCGGCTGGGTGAAGGAATGGAGAGGAATGCGAAGAGATCGACAAACGTTCATGGCCGCAGTGTGGCAAGCTCTGCGTCCGATGTCCGGCGGTACGAGGCCTAAGACCACGTGGTCTTGGGGTGTTCAGGCGACCCGAAAAGAGATCGTTTTGCTCACCTCCGCTTCTACAGACAAAGGGAGCGGCTTGGATAGATTATATATACAGTATATGATGATATCCTTGGTATAGGGGATATCCATGAGGAAGCAAATGGAACCGATGGTGCCCAGCCAGTTGACATGTTCAAGCCTGCACAAACAGTCCTCCATGTCCATCCAAACAGCCTCGCGTTCGTTGTTCTCGTCTTCCCGTCATGATCCCGATGTGTTGGATCCCCAACTCCGGTCCGATGTGTTGGATCCCCTAAGACAGATCCCCAAACAGAGAGATGTCGCCACCAACTTTGGAAGTCGAGTCCGGGGTCGAGTCTTGCCTTGGTGTCTTCACCTTTGCTCATCTCGAGCACTGTCCGGAAGGCTGCGGCCTGCAGACGTGGACCGGAAGGACTGGCTACGGTGCAGAGTCAGAATCCGTCAGGTTTGGGACAGTCAACCTCTTTAGGTCCGTCCGGTCCTAGACAACAAAGAGAAGTACCCACGTGGATTCCACCTGTTTGTCCTACGATGACTATGATTGCTTGCAAAAACCTCCTGAGAGCCTTTGGGATCCGGAATCAATCTAACTGAAGGCCCGAATCAATCTAAATATATCTAACAACTTGATTTGGATTGCTCTTTGCGTTCTTCCCGGTTCTTGTACTCTGCTTTCCACGGCGCCAAGAAGAATGATGCATCCCAATCCAAATGGAGCATGAGCAAACGCATGCAAATCCATACCTTTTTCAATGAAGAACCCAAACCTTTGCAGGACAGTAAGATATCTTTCCAGAAGGGCTCAAACCCTTTTGAGGCAAAGAACTCTGAGCTTCTCTTGGAGATTCTTGGAGCATAGATGTTCTTCTGGTTGCGAATCCCAAGCAGCTGCCTGTCTTTTTATGTTTCAAATTGAAAAACCATGTCTAAACACAGCTCTAGGTCTTTGCTTTTGGCCAAAAAACATGCTTGGCCCTTCACCCGCACCAACCGCAACGTCCCGATGTCCCGCGCGAAACTCGCCCGCGCACCTCGAGTTCTGCCTCGCTGACCGGCTCCACACCTGGGTCGAGGTGAAAGACCGAGGGGGTTAAATGGGGGGACATCCCTTTGAGTCCCGCCGGTCCGCAGTCTTTGGACACACTCTCCTATATAATAATATATAATATACATAGCTATTATTTGTTTTTTATTGAAATTGCTTTCCTGGAAGATCCTCAATCCTCATGATGTTTTCTCTTTTTGCAACTTCTTGCTGGCCAAGCGTCCGAGCAGTTGAAGCAGGCGTGAACTTTGAGACGACAACTCCAAGGAAGGCTCTAAGCATCGCACCAAGTGGCTTTGAAGACCTCAGATCTGGCACGGAGGGTTGTTGTTGTTGCTGCTGTTCTCTTTCTTTTTTGGGGGGAGGGTGGAGGGGTTTTGGCTCAGCGTTTTTTCGACCGGATTTCGGGGTCGTCCCATGCCCATGTCCAAAGGTTCTGCAAAAACAACCAATTAGTCTCATGGACCAGAATCCAGTCGTTTGTATGATGGATAAACACAATAAACGACATGCCTAAAGCAGTGATTTCAGTGGTATGCCGACAGTCAATTTGCCGTGCTCATCGTTTCAGATCGTCTCAACTGAGCCCAGCAAATTTCCGGGACACCGGCCCACAGTCCGTTG